CTGTACTACTGTATAAACCCACACTTCCCTCAACGCAACACAGGTCATTATTCACGGCCGAATAATGACCTTTCTACAAGAATCAGACTACTTTGTTTATCGAAATAAAACAACTCAAAGTTAGTTATTGACTGAGTAATAAAAATAAAATAAAATAATTAATGAGTAACTTCTGTGTCTCTATTTCCTGCCTTATGTATCTGATATTAAAGGCGATGCTGGGTTGTTATTTTCCTTTTGGGATCGTCTCCCATAGCACTAAAAACTAAGACAGCTACATTAGATGTGTGACAAATTTAAACATTATATGACAAGAGCATTAAAAACATGTGAACTTTGAGACCCAGCAATTGTATACATGTATCACTGGCAAACAAGGAAAAGAAATGTCCCTATATACCATAGAATTAGACAAATATATATTGTTTTAAATGTTTGGTAACATTTCAAAGCAAGTCTAATTAAACTAGTGTACAATGCAACCAGAGTCAGACTGAATTAGCTGAATAAAACAAAAGGCTGTCAGTAATGATTAGGATTTCATCAGAGGGGATCCAGTCTGCTTTTCCAATGAAAGGAAAACAAATGTACGCTGCTGTGGCAACAGAGATGATGACCCATACACCGGCTGTCGCAGGTTTAAGGAACGTATGTTGCTAAAGAACATCAACTGAGCGGCTTATTTAGCTTTGCATTTAGGATCAACCGGTCTGGCTTTATTAGTCAGAGGAAAACTTCTGAGACAAACAAAAAAACAAACAAAAAAAAAAACAAGAAAAACAAACCCAACAAAGCCCGAAAAAAGAGCAAACATCTTTTAAATTTATTTATGACCTGTTCTCATACATACTGTTGTGGATTAATATTCTCTGTTTGATTAGGAAAACTTTAATCAAGGCTTTTCTAACACCACGCTCTGAGGTGTCAAGTAAAAAAGTACAAATACTTTGTTACTGTACTTAAGTACACTTTTTATGTATCTATACTTTACTCCATTACTTATTTTTCCTCCTACTTCTGACTTCTACTCATTACATTTTCACACAAGTATCTGTACTTTCTTTTAAAGGTTACTTTATACTTTTATACTTTACATATTTTTTGTAGCACATACTTTTCCACTTTTACTTGAGTAAAAAGGTCAAGTTGATTCTTCAACTTTTACCACTGTTTTTAAACTGCAGTATCTATACTTCTACTTAAGTAACAAATGTGTGCTTTTGACACCACTGACCGCAACAGAATGTGTAATAAAAGTGTTTATGATTGAAGCTAATATTGTAACTACAGGTTAATACTCAAAGCTACAAAACTGGTATTGTATCGGTAAAACCAGTTTTACAGGGAGATAGAAGAGGAATATAAAATATGACAGAACAAAACACACCCAACCTGCTGTAAGCCAACCTTTTGTTTGCAATTAACTGTGGATAAATATTCTCAGAAAATGTGAGTCATTTTACCCTAACTGCTTAGGATAAAGATTGACAGTAGAACAACAAACAACAATAAAGAGTGAACGCTTTAAATGATGTTACCCAGCAGCTTTAAACTCTAAGAGAAAATCCTCAAAATCCACTTTATATTGAAACAGGTTTTAACCCCACAGCAGCAAGCCTGGCTCTAAGCAACACCTGTATATAATAAAAATATTTGTCTCACCTTCTTCTTCAAAACAAACCACATCTACGGTGCACCTCTTTAACCATGTCAAACACTGAGCTGCCAACTTCCTGCTTTGGTTTATATACCTCCCCCGCTCCTCCCCTCCCTTCTCTCACTGTGATCCAGGCAGCCAGCTGAGGGAGAAATGAAAGTGAAACTAAAATCCTCGCTCTGTCTGTTGCTGCTTCTCAGCTACAGACACAGTCTCTCTTTCCAGGAAAGGGCCTGGCCTCAGGCACGGTGTGCAAACCGAGAGCTACCAGAAGCGGTTGGGTGTAGCCGAAAAATATTTCAGTAGTGACAAATTCAATTCAAAGTTTCATTTCTTTTCACAGACAGCATTAAAAGCAAATCCTTATTAATAAGGTGAGCTATGTTGACCTCTGAGGGCAGGGGTGATGAGGCAGAGGAGGAAATGAAACTATTGTATTGATGTTATTTCTAGTTTCCAGCTAAAATATGAAGCTTATCAAAATAAACAAAAGAGAATTTGTCTTCAGTTGCTCAGTGCGAAGCATCTAATCAGTCCTCAGGGTCTCTATAGAAACTGCCTGGACCCTGATCCCACCCACTTCAAATTAAACCATGCAATACATAAAATAAATATAGGTATATTGAAAATGATCCATTTATTTAAAAAATGTCTTTCAATTATTTAATGTCAAATTCTAAAGGTATACAAAAATTTTAATGGCACATTTAATCCGTTAGTTGTCCATTTCCATTATTCAAAGGTATATTTTTATTATATATATATATATATATAGTTATTTATTTAATATATGTCTTTCAAGCTAAATTTATTTGCAATTTCAGGGTGCATTCATGCTTATCTGTATACTGAAACATTTATTTATTTTTGCCCCTTTTAACTCTTCATAGAGAACATCAACACACGGCTAGTTGCTGGGCAATAAAACAATAACACTACTACAACAGACACCTTTTCAATAACAATAGAACGTACTGACATATTACAAACTCCAATCCAGAACCGCTGCAGTCTTGGACATGTAGGGAGAGAAAATGATTTAGCCAATCACAAACACATATAAGTATA